ATAGAGATTGTACCCTGCTCTAAAATTGCTCACATCGAGAGGGCACACAAACCCTACGTGTCTGATATTAGCAATGTAATGAAGAGAAATGCCCTCAGAGTGGCAGAAGTTTGGATGGATGAATACAAAATAAATGTGAACATCGCCTGGGGTCTTCCTATACAGGTAGATCTAATTAAAGGAGATTCAGCCAGTCAAATTCTGGATTTTCAAGGCCAGCTCTAGGACTCTTGAAGTGTTGAATCTGTCTGGTTCAGTTTGAAACACCTAAAGTTGTGACTAGAGAGATGTGTGACTAGAGGTTTTGAGGTTTGAAATGTTCATTTGTTTTGGCTCTTTATTAGATTTATGATCTGCAAATGATCATGTTTATCTGTTCTCTCCTGTTTCCACAGAACCATGGAATAGACATTGGCGATGTATCGGAGAGAAAGAAACTGAGGGAGAGGCTGAAATGCAAACCATTTAAATGGTATCTGGAAAATGTCTATCCTGAGTTAAATCCCATTAATGATTTACTTGGTTATGGAGTGGTGAGTGACATACGGTTCACTATGAAACAAGATGATTGGTTTGATGATTTAATATAATGTCCTTATTTTCTCTATCAAAACAGCTGATTAATGATCTGCAAACACGTTTATGTTTGGATAAAGGACCATTTGAGGAGAACACTCCCATTTTATATCCTTGTAATTTCATGGAATCACAGGTAATCTCTTCTCTTCTCTTCTCTTCTCTTCATTTTCAAACTGTATTTTGGTGAATATTTGACACACTTTACTTTCTAATCACACAGATATTTTATTATACAGCAAGTGGTGAGATATTTGCGCATCCCCTTAAATTCCTTAAAAACAATAGGAACCGCTATCTAATTGATCCCGGCTCAGGCAGGTTTCCAGAGCTGTCCTGGTGTTCAGACACTGAAAAACAAAAGCACATGTATTGGGACTTCAAACAGGTGAGCAAATAATTACACCCCAAACATTGATAGGGTGCTGTGGTATATTACAATCTAAGCATTGCTTGGAAAAAAACATATTCTTGTTTGTTTTCAGGGACAGGCTATACAGAACAGAGAAACCAAACGCTGTCTGGAGATCAGCGCTGATCAGACAGGAAAGTATGAAAAGAATGTTTTTCTTCAGGACTGCAGAAACCAACACTGGAAGATACAGAATATTATTCAGGACTTTTGAAATGCAAGATATAATCAATTTATATAAACGCAGAAACATCACAGAAAGTCTTAGTAGTAAAAATGTGAATGTAGCTAAGAACTGAAGGAGATTAGATGCTAAAAATAGCATGAAAATATTATATGGCTGATGAGAAAGTAAAAATAAAATTGAGACTCAGAAAGAGGATTAAGAGAATAATAATAATGTCATATTGCAGTTCAAATGGAATAAAAAAATAAAACATTTAACTTGCATGTCATGTGACCATTCACCTGCATCAGAGAACCATGAAATCTCAAGGGATACTTCAAGTGAATATCTTATATCTATAGGGGTTCGGCTGACAAAAAAGTGTGTGAACCCCTGATATAGAGCAAGAGAACTTATATTAGTTTAGTTACATATATTAGTAATAATTCTAACGTTTTTTAATAATTTATTAAATCAACTATTCACATACTTTTCAATATACTACGCAGGGAAATAAGTGCCAGTTTCAGTTTTTCAGAAGTAGTTTTTTTTTATGTAAAGCATATGTGAGTTCTCTCTTTCAAACAAAAA